TACGGCCTCAGGGCAAACAGCAACCTCGTTGCTAACAATTTCGGACATACCAATGTCCAGTACTACGGCCGCCTCGGCCTCGTGCTCGCGCCAAAAGCGCTTCTGCTTCCTAGCAGAGGTGGGTTCATGGCTCACCAAAGCTCCACTAGGAGCAGGGTGCGACGCACCCAGCGTTTTCGACTTCCAGTCGATCCATGGCTCATGACGTTCCAGCCATGCCATGCCAAGGATGAGGTCATACCTCGCATCCAGGTCTAAGACCAAACAGCGCTCCATGCTATCGAAGTTCTCAAACTTCACTCCAAGGTCGACAGAGACATTCGACACAGTTACCAGTGTCCCCGTCGCGAGACGGACAGAGATCGTATCTCTCGTTGGCACTTCCAGTGCCTCAGCATACAGCTGACTCTCTTCGAGGGTGGAGCGACGGGCGTAGTTGCCCGAGGCTCCCGAGTCAATCAAGACTCTTCATGGCTTTGCAAAGCCCTTCACGTTCGCTTGAACGACCAGCAAGCCCGGCTTGCACACACTCTTTTCGTAAGAGAGCTCAGCTCTCTTCGGAGCTGAGCCCCGTTGCCCTCTACCTCCTCGAGGTACAACGGACCTCAGTTCTTCCCAAGTAGGCCGCCCCGCGCCTACTGGGAAATGCCGTTTCCCGGCGATGACCCGGAGGGTTGGCTCGCCGGAGCCACGCGCTTCTTGCGCAGAGGGCAATATGCCCTCAAGTGCTTAGTGCTATTGCACACAGAGCATCGGCGGATGCCGGCACGCTGCCTTGCAGCAAGAAGCTCCGCTTCTTCATCTTCAGCATAGCTGAGGTTCATCGGCTCTGGACCGCTCGAAGAGCTTGCGCTACGAGCGCTCCAACCAGGTCGAGCCGACCTGAAGTTGTGCTCGGCATTTAATGCCACATTCACCGCCTCTTTGAAAGAGTTAGGGTGTACACGGAACACTTCCGTTCGAGCTGCGCTCACACGAAGTCTCTCCATGAGCACGGTCACACTGACCAGTTCCGGAAGAGGGTCCGCCGCCATTCCGGCGATAAGAGTTCTCAACTCTTGGACATAGTCCAATAACTCCTTCTTACCCTGGCGGGTCGCAAGGAAATTCGACCGGACACGGTACGCCTGATTAGGCGGCGCGAACACGCGCGAAAGCTGTTGCTTCAGCTGATCCCAAGTGGGAAATGCAGCGTCAACAGACGTGCCGCACGTTAGTGCCCATTCGCGAGCGCGACCTCCAAGCCTGGAGATAGCTAGCGCCACGCGCTGATGCTCAGACTGGAGCAGGGACGATCCCATGGCCATCTCGACCTCACGGGTCCAGAGAAGGAGATTCTCTCCATCCTTCCCCTCGAAGGTTTTTACGCTCACCATGAGCGGTTTCAGTCTCATAGACTCTTCACGCGTCATCGACGCCGCCGCCGTTGCGGCGCTCATCTTCTCTTGGACATGCTGTAAGAGCTCGTCCTCGTAGCGGGATAACGATTCCAGCCTGACTGTGACCGCCTCTGGGCCTTGCGATGCAAGATGAGCCACGCCCTCCGGGCCAAGCAAGCACATAAGCTTAGTAAGCGCGTCCTGCTGCGCCGGGGGCAAATTCGCGAACACGGGCTGTTCCATCCTCGCAGAGGATATAGTCAACCGACTCAGGAGCGGGATTGACTACAAGTGCTACCAAGTGCAGCGGGGCTGCCGTAGCTTTAGCGTCAGAGGAAGACGTTCGACTCAAAGAGTCACTAATACTAAGTTCCTTATCCAAAGGACACTTACAGCCCAAGACCAGGGCTCAAAGTTAACACCTTAACTTTTATGCTTCAAAAGCAGAAGTGTTTTATTTACTATTATTGCGGCCAAGCCGCCTAGGGGTAAACGTATCTGTTTAACTATCTAGCATAGTTAAACCTAATCAAATGCATAACGTGTGGCTTTCGGCCAGCGTACTGAGACCTTGTTAACTCTCCAGCTTATGTACTGAGAGTTTGTTAACTCTCCGGGTACTTCGTACCCTGTGTGTTCCACACCATGTAACCCCGTTACAGGAGGGTCCTGCTTAGTTTTTTCCCAGACGATAAGTGTGTTCATTGCTTCATAAATTTGACGTGCTTTACCATATGCTCTTTGTCTGTTCCTCTTTTAGCATGTCAGTCATCGAAAAGCCCCGCTCTATGTGTGCATTTGCTTGCGTTTTCCCGTATTAATTTTTATGTTCACTCTTACAAAGTCGTAAGTGTCGGTGTCCGTGCCGTTTGGGCCATCCTTACGTCGTATGATATACGACATAGTGTGTCAAAACCTTTGAGAACGTATACCTCCCATCGTGTTGGATAAGCGAGTGGAAGATACAACACCATACAAACGCGCTCGTAAAGGCTACGCCGTAAGTTATGACGTAAAATTAGTGGTTCACGGGCTCATTTAACGGTAACAGAGGGGTTAATGTAATCAAAAATTGCGATCTGCCGAATACACAAGAATTCGCCACGCTCTTTCCGAATACAATCCAAAAATGCGATCTGCCGAATACACAAGAATTCGCCACGCTCTTTCCTAATACAATCCAATTCGACATAAAATGCAGCTCTTAAGTCCACCTCTGCCTTCCCAGGTTATTTTAGCACCTCGGGCTTTATTTTGCGATGTTGGCTCAGCGCAGATTGTCGAGATAACTCTCAAGCAGCAAGCGATTGACGGGACCAAGCGAGAGAGCGGCGGCGTGCTGTCACGCGCAGAGCCCCATTTTCGTCAGACGGGGTAGAGGTTTTCTGCTTCTGCGTTCCGCAAGTGGTGGCACGACCGTGATCAGATCCAAGCCGAATCTTGTGTTCGGTGCCTTAAAATTGGTGTAGGTAGAAAGCATCTTCTTGGTGCTGTTATTTCCACACTGACAAACAAAGCACAACGCAAGCGTATCCGAAAAGAAAATGCCACATGTGGGTGAATTACATCAGCGGAGTCCGAGCTGTTCGGAGAGGACTGGACGGAGAAAGAGCACGAAGAAGACCCTGTTCGTTTTGTTGTCTTTTTATCTTGGTATCAAGGCTATATGGCGCATAAGTGTCTAGTCTCACGAAAATGGACAACGCTGAGCAGCGAGGTACAGGTGTAAAGCGCTGTGGCGTAAATGACGTTTCTCGAGCAGTACAAGTCCTTGACAAATCGTGAATGAATCATTATGATGAGCCAAAACGGCTGTCGATGTTAAGACGCGCGTGCACACACGGTCGTTGGCATCCGATCCGACGGTTTCGAGTTCGTGACGATTACCGCAGCATAAGCGGTAATGGCTTCCGGTAAAACGTTGCCGCGGTGCTTGATTTGTAAGCGCAAGACGAAGTTGTCACCCGCTCCACAGGTTTCTCGTCCATGCAGATTAGCGGTACCCGTGGTCTGCATTAAAGGAGCCACGACAACGCGAGCGAGTTCCACCATACAAAAACAATTTGTCCTTAAAATCAATGCAGTCTTTACTCACGGATCTGATCGCCTTTGGCGTCGTTTTTATCAACAAGTTCGCGCTCGTCGAGAGCAGAGATCTTGCGGGGTCAATTCAGCTTTCAGATCTCAATTTGCTCCACAAACAGAGAAACAGTGGTCAGCTCAATATGGGTGACAACGAGCCACCGTGGGTTCAGGCTGTGCACGCCGAGCCGCACGACACGTCCTCCCGGACAGCTGAAAAGACTTTTACTGGGTCAAAAGGGGAGTACTGCGTTGTAGGGTTCATGGTACCGTTAACATGCACGAGAAAAAGGGGAGGAAACCAGCGTATCTGTCGGTGGGTCACGAATAGGTTGTGGTGGAGGTTGTCGCTGCGCGCTTTCATATGGGATTTTGTATTGAAGAGCCAGAGCTCCGCTATATCATTCGCCAGTGTGTGTTTTCTCACCAACCGGACAGAAACTTTCCTCCAGAATAATTTCGAGCCGGCAGTGGATATCAAGATTCACTAAGAGATACAAGAAGCAGAAGTCGTTTTGGCAGCCACAGAGCTTGGACAAGAAGCGGGCCGAGCTTTCAACAGAGGAGATTGTGCGTGGACATGCGGGAAGGTTTAAGTCAGTCATCAGTGACGTAGCTCACGAATGTAAATGGCAGTGTAACGAGAACCGGCGTATATGCACAAGGATCAGTAAAAATCCGAGTAATGTGCTCTCGTGGCCACTTCTTTACAGAAGGTGCTCACATGACCGCGGAAATGTGGGCGTAATGGTGCGTGTAAATGGTGCTGGAAGCTATGCTTCAAAACCAGAAGTATTGGTTTTACTATTATTGCGGAAAGCCGCCTAGGGGTAAATGTATATGCTTAACTTTCTAGCATAGCTAAACCTAATCAAACGCAAAACGTGTGGCTTTCAGTCAGCGTACTGAGAGACCTTGTTAGCTCTCTAACTTATGTAATGAGAATTTGTTAACTCTCCGGGTACTCCGAACTCCTATGTGTTTCATACCATGTATCACGGTTTTACTCTCCCCCACTAAGATAAGACCATTCCGTTCTCGAAACTTCCTCAGTGAGGACACGTCTTATCAAGACGGCGGAGGCTACTACACCTCACACCAGCGTTGTATATCTCCGCGAGCTCACAAACGCCCTCGCATCATTGGTGCCCATCTTCTCGTCGTCGACCTCACGGCCTAATGCTCCAAGCGCACCGCGCATCTTGCTCTCAAGCGGTCCCAGACCTACGCTCGCGCTCCGCACATGACTCCACGAGCTGCAAACCGCTTAACGCTAGGCTCTTGACTCGTCCGACGCGTCGACAACAGCTCCGCGGTTGAACACTCGCTTCACAAGCGATAGGTCGGTGGTTCGATCCCACCAGGGCGTCGCCCTCTCGCTCCATGAACGATTGTTCACGCTTGGACAAGCTTAAGGGCAGCACCCTTTTAGCTCAATGGTTGAGCGTTGGCTTTGAGAGCTACAGGTTGGTGGCTCGAGCCTCCAGGGCACAGCCCTCTCGTTCCATGAGCAGCTGTCCTAGAATGGACAGTTTAAATGGTTTTTATCTCAGTGGTCGAGCGCTGGCTTTGGAGGCCACAGGTCGGTGGCTCGATTCCACCCGGGCGCAGCCCTCTCATACCATGAGTAGTCCGTACTCGGACAAACTTACGGGCATCGCCCCTATAGCTCAATGGTAGAGCTCCGGCCTGAAAAGCCAAAGGCCAGTTGTTTGATCCCCGTCCGGGACAAACCAGTTTCGCTGTTACGGCGCATCCACATTTGGATCATACTCATCGAGCAAGCTGTTTCAAAACAACTATGCGTCTATCGGGACGCTTGTGCCTGAACCTTGTTCGGCACAACACGAACACCTGCTTCCTCCGGGATCACGTCCCCAACACCACTAAGTCTCTCCACCTCCTGCTCCCGCTGCGAGCACCGCTCACACGCACGAGCTGGCTGCTGCGGCCACTGGTCAGAGCCTGAGATTAATCACTGACGCGTTTTTCACTCTAGTGGGGGGCGCCCAGCGCCTGGCGACGCTGTCACACGCTATGGTGGCTCCTCGGCGCAGAATGTGCCCGGTCGTAAGCGTCCACGACGTCAGGGCAATCTTGCCGGAGGATAAACTCAAACTCCTATGCGTTCTGTGAGTGAGGGTAACCCCTCCAGCTCACAAAGTACTGGGTACGTCCCTGGCGTCTACGCTGTGCTACAAGGTGTTCCACCTGATAGTGGGGCTCACCATACTCATCGAGCAGAGCGAGAGGAGGCCTTGCCTCAGCTGGGTTCTCGCGGGGAGAATCAGCACTTGCCGGAACGGCGTCTGCGTCCACGACGCGAACGTTCACGTTCACTGCTCATCGATCGATTTTGAAGAGACAATCCACCTTGTGGATATGTTACAGTCACCATCGCTGACCCACAACCAGGTCTCGGACCTTGAGCGTCCAGGCGCTCGACTGAACGCTCAGCTTGCCTTGCTCCTGCATCTTGAGCACTTCGCTCCGCGACCTGTGGCTCTGCCACTTGCTGTTGATCAGCCTGCTGTGGGCTCACCACTTGCTGTCGTCTAGCCTTCTGTGGCTGTACCACCCGCTGCCCTGCAGCTGTTCATGGCTCGGCCAACGTTGGTTTAAACGCCTCCGCGCTCACCTGAGCAGGGCCTTGTTATGGCTTAACCAGCCAGCATAGAAGTCCAGATGCGTGTGCATCTTCTTCGGAAGGCTGAGTGCATACGCTAAGCCCTCCCTGGTCACGACCTTAAATGGTCCTATGAGACGAGGTCTCAATTTCGTCTTGAGGACTGCAGACATTGCATAAGTTGGTAGGGTTTTCGCGTTTAATAAAATTTGGTCACTGATCTCAAATCTCTCAGCATTGCTTTTGTCATTGGTATCGGCATGTTCCTTCTGTGTGGCTAGGCTTTCAGCCAAGCGTCGCGTACTTGACGATGCGCTCCTGGCGACGGTTTACGCGCTCGGCGCAGCCGGCGATATCGGTGTACGAGACGAGCGTCGCGTTCTTAAGCTCTTCGCCGGACACGTTGGACGACGTGGCCGCCTTGGCCTTCTCGCACGCACAGTGCACCAGCACGCGGTTGGTCAGGATCTTGAGATACTCGCATATCTTCAGAGCCAAAATGTGGTGTCGCATCGCCACCAGGCGACTTACGACCACCTCGATCGTCACACGGACGAATTGTATGACGATCCACCCGATATGTCCTCGATCTGCTTGATCACGCTCGTGTCGCTCTTTAAAGTCAAAACGTGCCCGTACGTTGTGCAGCAGCTGCCGCAGCCCGACGTGGTTGCACAGGTTCAAGATGCAGCAGTCCACGGTCATGAGCACTTGGGCGCTCGCAGGCGCAGACGAGAGCAGCGACGACGACAGGAGCGCACCAAGCACATCAGGCAGATACGGACCCAGGAGCTGCGGAATCTTGTCCGTGATCACTTCCAGCGCAGCCAGCAGACACTGCAGCACCGCCTTGGTGCCGCTCACGTTGCTAGTCGACGAGCAGTAGTTGACTTCGCTTAGTAGACGAGGGAAGAACTTGGGTAACAGAGAGAACACCACGGGGTCCACTGCGCGACAGACCGAAGACAGACACACGAAGGCACAGCCGAACAGATGCAGCGTCATGGGGGGAGCGTTGACGACGTTGGGAGAATATGCTGGAAATGCTTCGTGTGCGTTCGTAACAAAGCTGGCGGCTAGAATGTCCACACTGAGTAGCGCAGTATGGATGTTGACGCTGTCGCCGGAGCCCTCGGCGTTCGGAATCATCGCATCCAGCCAGTCCAGCATGTCGATGGACGGAGCGCAACGCGACGTGAGAGAGCGTCGCGGTCTTCCTGCAGACGCTCGTTGGCGAGCTGCATTGCCTTCTTGCGCCCAAGCCTCACTCAGAGCGTCTCCCGAGCGCCGCCTTGGACACCCAACAGCAATATATCACATTGTCCTTGTGCATGCGCCATAGCTTTCGTAATCACATATAATCAGTTAAAATTTCTCGAACTGTAGCTGCATGTAAAAGCGCTTTAATTTTGTACGCACCAACTAGTAATATCAGCATCTAATCCGCTTCCTGCTTTGCAAAACGCGACTCAACAGCACGATTAGTTGGTTTCTGCGGGCGAGACGAACGTCGACGATATGGAATATCATCTTCTTCGTTAGCATTCCCAATATCACAGGCGCTTCCAGAGTCATAATGCATTACTGGAACTTGAACGCTTTGTCCGACTGCTGCACGGGCTCCGATTGCGGCTTGATCCGACTGCCCAGACTCCTTGCACATGACTCTAAGAAGTGGCATTGGCCGAGCTTTAAAGCGTCCTGTAACCTCGTTGGTAGCGTCATTTTCTAGAATGCCGTGTCAGTGGATGAGGAACTTGCAGTTGATAGCGCCGGGCTCGCGTAGGGTGATAGCACGTGATTTTCTGCATTCGCTATGGCAGATTGAGCCTCACCATGTTGCCATTTTTCCACAGAGTCTAAATCAGATGGCTCTCCGGATGATGAGCAGGAAAGCTGGTCCACGTGATGAGTATGAGTTGGCCGTACAAACTGACGCGTGCGCGTACTCACACCCGGGCAAGCAACACCACCTAGGCCACAGACAGCAACATGGCAACACATCGCGTGCTTGCGGTTGTACGCGCATGAGCACGATTCACTACTAGTGTATACTACCCATTTTCCAACTGGCATGCCCTGTGTCTGCATTCGCCTTGAATTGACAGATCGAATCGAGTTGGCCACCAGCTTTTTCTCTGCCGCGGAAAGCCGTAGGGCCGACTGCTTCATTCTGTACAAATCCGCTTCAACATTCCCATCAGGGGAAACCTGTGCACAGAAAGGCAATTGCGGGTGAGCATAAGCTGATATAACCTCAAGAGCCGCTCTGAATCCGTGGGAGCCGACACATACAACATATCGCTTTTAAGGAAAGCGAGCCGGGCCCCATATAATTTTGGATCAAATCAGCAGGATTAGCTGGGCCACCTGGGCACTGCAACTTCAGCTTTCTATGGTATTGCTCCTGCGAGCTGTTTGTTGCCGCACAACTGCCACCGTGAGAATCTGTGCGATTTCACCCACCATCACGATATAAGTGCTGCAGATCCACGTAGAAATTCATTCTATTTCGTAATAACTCGGTCTTTCACTGTAGGATACTGCTGTTCCGTGGCGTAGTGCATGTCGTACAGATCGGCGAGCACACTCCTTGTTTTATTGGCATGTACCGTTTTTCTATTGAGACTGCTTCCATACATTTTTAGTGACATGAAACCAGCACATTAATACAGTTGTGTGTGGAAGCTCTGTGACGCACGCGTTGAACTGCGCTTTGTCCGCGTCCATCATCACAAAATTTAGGTGTAAAAAGTGCGCCACGCACATCCATACTCACTCGCTTTACAAACTGAATACACCGTCCCATGTCGATTGCACGCTTCTGTGACATGCAGAAGTACACCACTGGAAAGTATTACCTAGTGAGATCCGAATAACCAAAAGGAAACTCCACATAGCCATTGATAGCCACTACCTATGTGAAGAATGGTAGTGCAGTTGGGGTTGTTTTGCACATCGATATAACTTTTTACCATGCGTAAACAGGTCATGCCAACTCGCAAAGGATATGCGCTGGGGCCGTCGCCGAGATATGATAGCCTGAGGGTGGGTACTCGGCTGGGAGTCACACAAAATCACCATGTCTGTGTCCGAAAGTGTCCCAAGATCTTGCTGGTCGTAGAGGCGACCATTACAGAGCGCAATCAATGGGGCCATGAAGTCCTTACAGTTCTTTCTTCTCAAGTTCCTCACAAAATCACTAACTTGGGTGCTTTTGGGGGCGGACCCGGCCATGGTATTGTTGCCTAGGAAGGTACAAAGCAGTGTATGTAGTCTAGCAGCACTAGATTTCTCTTCAGTACTAAGGCTACATGTATTAATAATATAGCTCTTCAATCCTTGTGTCAGCCTCCGCGCCACAGGAATAGGAGGTCGTTTATGTCCATCACGTGAATCCCTTGCTGAAATACCTCGCCCAAATCTGACGCGAGACATAGTTTGAATTTGTATTGACACGGTCAGCGCATCGATGGTCCAACTCATCGTTTCTAGACGCTGTAGCTGTGCTTTGCAGAGCTTTGACCGACACAGGACCGATTGCGACTTCAAAGGGTGCCCACAGCGATGTAGATTGAAATTATTGTTGAATAAATGGTCTATTGTGCATCCAACTGAGTTGCTTGCTGGTGTTGTTGGTACAACATTTTCTCTTTTTTTGTCAACTGCGTGTGACGGTAGGCGATTACGGTACTCTGCTAGCGTATACAGCTGTGTACAGCGGTAAATTTGCGTCCACAATGGTCGTCGTCCGGCCTCAGCGTCGTCGTCAGCGCCGGAAATCCGGTTCTTCTAGCTGTAAATGACGCTGTCTTGCCCTTCGCTCATTGTCTTTAGTTGTTACGAGCTGCAATGGTTGTTTATGAACTGCTTCCTATGCACATGCCGCCTGTGTTGCCATTTATATTAACAAAACGGAAGACAGGTTGAAGATAAATATCTATTTTGATGGTTAAGTAGACTGTATGGTCTTTTGTTTGATTACGATGCCTTTTCTATGTGTGTGGGCCTGTCTATACGATTGGTGGTTCTACACTTTTATAAGGCATATTGACACCGTACATGTGGACTAATAGCAGGTAAGACGGTCTCCTGCTTACGAGTGTCTTTGCAGCCACGGGGCGTAGGTACTTTTACCATCCATTTCCAGAAACCGGTACACGTTTATCACTTCCCAACTCATCACCAAGCGCCCAACACCTGTCCGACGTTCTCCTACTGAATAATGGCTTCTAAGGCCACACTGAGATCCGTGGAGCGATTTCTCAGTAACTCTGTCGGTAGTGAAATGGCGTCAGTGTCGAGTGGATCTAGAGACATCGAGTCTTTGGAAAGAGGAGCAGAACGCATGCGGGTGACTTTGGTGCTCATCTTGTTAGGAATCGTGACCATTTGGCTACTTTGTGTGGGATTAATCTGGCACATGAGGGTGAATCGAGCGGGGTCTTTCAAAGGAGATGCTGCTGCTGCTAGAAAAGTGATCTTGCCAGCCTATGAACCTGTTTTATTCGTCCTGGCCATTTTAAACGGCGCCTACATCATCTTCCTGATAGTGACACTCGCAACAGACTACTATGACGTGCTCGTCTCTCCCCTCATACTTGAATCGTTCTACGCCGGTAATCAATTCATGTTCGTGATTGTGCTGGTTCTAATGTTCGAGAAAAGTTTGTCGTTTCCAGCCGTCAAACGCGCTGTAGGATTGTCGTTTCTACTGTCGTACTACACTATGCTTTACGTCTGGGTAGTGACGCATTTCGGGCGTCCAAGTCAACAAAAGACGTTTGCAATCGGCCTCCAATTTGTCCGCGGACTGCTAATGCTACCATTTGTGTACGCGTTCGTCCAACCCCCAAGTCGAGCCACGAAGCGCATCATTCGGGAGTTATGCTTCGTTACCATTGTGTACTTCCTACTTACAGTACTACTGATGATACTCATCATGAATCCGAAAACGGTCGAGCAAAGCCGCTATGTCGTCTACGTCATGCTATCGTGGGTAGCTTTTTGTCCACTAATTGTCTGGCGCGTGTTAAAAGCGGATACCGAGTATTGGCATGGACTTGGACAGCGAGCTTGTGCTCTCCAGAACTATTTTCAACGGGAGAATGGCTTAAGTGAACACGTCACTTCCGAGGGCTTGCACGTGCTCATTGAAATGAACCGAAGTGTGTGATCGATTTTGCTTATCTAGAGCTCGCTCGACAGCTTGGAGTGGGTTCAAAGTCGACGGTGTTTCAAGGAACTTATAAGATGAAAGCTCAAGTCGCTGTAAAGGCGTATGTGCCTTCAAGCTGTTCCGATGATATCGTAGCAGCTTTTTCTCACGAAGCAGCCATGTGCAGTGTCCTGAACCACCCCAACATCGTTAGATTCCATGGAATGTGTGTAGCCCCTCCTACAATTTGCCTTGTGTTCCAACTCTGTCAGGAAAGCCTAGCCGACGCACTCGATCAGTCTCACAGGCAACTTCACCCTTCTCGTCAGTAACTATTAATTAGTATTGATCAAATGCTGGATGCAGGTCGTGCTGTAGCTTATCTCCATAGCTTCTCACCTCCATTTGTCCATTGCAACATTAAGCCGTCAAGTTTCCTTGTGGATTCGGAATGCAATGTACAATTATCGGACTTTGGGGAAGCCAGAAGTGTGACTAATCTGAAAAAAAGAACGCTATTATCAACGTCAAAGATGCCCATTCTTGAAGATACCCACTTTTCACTCGAGACTGCAATTGGTTCACCGATGGAAACAACACTATCTCATATCGACTCACCTTGGAGCTTACAGACGGAGAAATATTCGGCAGAGTATACTGCACTGGAGATCATTGAGAAGAGGGATGAGTTTGATGTGCATGGAGTAGCGGCTTATGTTTATTCGCTTGCAATGACGATGTGGGATATCTTACACCCTGGCGGTGACAGATTCCCGCAAACCAACGGGGACCATGCACAGGTAACGCAAGAAATCTTGCATGGCTTACGTCCCAGACTGGATGACAGCACGCCTCCCAGATTACGCGGCCTCATTGAACGGTCCTGGTCTCATGATCCTGGTCTTCGTCCATCAGCAAAACAAATTGTCAATGCTTTGGAAGATATTCAGGAGGAAATGTGCGCTCGACTGGTTCTCGAATTACTGAGTGATTTGATCGAGTATCCGTCCGCTGCGAGTGGGTCGAGTATTAGATTGACGGAAGTGCATCGAGCTCACACCCTTCCCGGGGCATTCATTGTTGATCGCATGGTTGAGCGGCGGCTCGTAAGTTGTTCGGCCGAGGCAATTCGCATGGGCAACGCATTTATGGATTCCAGCTTTCTTCACCACGTTAATCACTCCAGAGGATTTGAGAATAGCGCGACTGCGAGGTACTACTTCGCCTTTGATGAAGCACAGCTCAGTCTACCGTCTCAGCTTGAGAGATCCGTGAATCGAAGTAGCTTCTTGAGCGCAAATGAGTCTACACCTTTGCCAATCCAAACTGGTGGTAGTGTAAACCAAAACGGAGTGTCCCTTATTTAGAAATTTATTTTTTTAAAAAATTAGAAATCCCCAAAATTAATCCAGACCAATACGGATTTAGTGTAAAGCAAAATGATGAAGTATTTCTTGTTCGATGGTCGCCTCGATAAGAGTATCTTGTCTTCTACAGTACTGCACATGCACCACGTACATTACATTAGTGCATTGGTTATAGCCACGAGCGCCCCGCACCGGACGCCGTTATAAGTGTACGAACTCTTCTTAACGCTGACCGTCCAGGCAAGCAGCCCCAACACGAGCGCTTGATGGCACGTCAATCGCTGAAGCGCCGTTTTTGAGACGCAAACTCAGAGCTGCAACCCCTCTCCTTCCATTCCCCACGGCCGGTTAACATCTGCAAGCGCAGCCCAAAGCTCTCATCCTTGATGTACTCTGTCTACTGTAATCGGGTTGCTGGCCGTCTTGGTCCCTCTATCGATGATTATGCAGGCTGTACAAGCTGAGAGGTCACTGTGTGCACCCACACTCTCGTGTTCTGGCGCCCATACGCAGGTTCACGCCCCCTTACATCTTTGTGTGTACTTCAGTCCGCAGCGAGCCCGTAGTTCGTATTGCTGGATGTGTCACTCGCGTTCTTGCCAGTTTGCACTAAGGGAAATCATCAATTTAGGGCCGCCCTGAAAAAAAGTTACATAACTCGGCAACTATTTGCACAGGGACACAAAGCGAGACAGTGTCCGAATGCTTGTAATCTGAATTTTTTATCGTATTTTTTGCGGCCAATGACCAATAGCATTGATCGTTCAGGACACGGCAGTAGAAAATTTTTGTCGCATCAGTTCAGGGCCGCATTTAACCTTAACTTCAGTATTAAAATGTTCAGCTGGTGAAAATTTCAAGCCCATTCAAGCATAGATTTGATCACCCTATCTTTTTATGTTTATGCGTCTTGATAAAATTATGAAGGATACATAATTATGCAAGAATAAGCAAACGTCTGTCATTACCAAAACAAAACAAGTGCTGACAGCTCAGTCGTTTAGACGCTAGCTTATTGAGGGCCCATAGGTGGGTGGCGTTGGGCGGAAGCATGTCCTCTCAAGTATCTTGGTTTGCGCCGCGACCTCGGGAACCGCCGCACCGCTGAGTATTTTTGCCACAATGGCAGTCTTAATGTCAGTAGAGTAAGTGTGGCGAGTCTTAGACATGGCTTGGGTCGGACAAACAAGAAGTGAAGCGTTTGTTTTCTTCTTGCAAATGTTTGAACGGAGTGGATGGCGCTCAACAACCTCATTTGGTTGGAGGAGCTGAATAAAAATATGGCGCCAAGAGTTCACCCCTTTTGCAAATTAAAATTTTAAAGGTATTCGTACTTAGCTTATTATAACCAATAGTTTCCAAGTTCAATGGAGTACTGTATATGATTGGCAGTAACTTATGCGGCCCTAAACTGGTTCGCGGCCCTAAATTGATGATTTCCCTTACACTAAATCTACATTGCTCTAAAACCTAATTTTGTAAAATTATTCCTCAAATTTAGATGTTACTTCGGTTACTTCACTCCGTTTTGGTTTACCAGTTTGGATTGGCAAAGGTGTAGTATCCCCATGCTGACCCGTTATAGCAATGGCCGAACCTCTTTTAGCTTTGTACGAACGCGCAATGAAGCCACTTGTTGCTGCCGGCAGCTTGGACAGCGTCTGATCAGTGGAAAGTCTTCACGATTTCGGCGGCGGAAACAGTATCAAGCTGCCCCGGAGCCAGGGAACCCGAAAAAATAAAATGCGTAAAAATTAATCCTAATTTTTTAATTTAATTATTAATTTATGGCTGTCAACAACCCGCAAGGTCTAGTCAAGTTACAGCGTGGGGGGGGACGCGCTGAACGTCGCGGAAAAATTAGCCTGCGCTGAATTTAGGTCGCCTGATCTCTAACGGTCGTCTTCAAGAGCCGCCGGAGAGCGTTCTATAGTGAAAGCGGCGTTCAAGAAACGCAATTGCGCACTACGTCGACGTCGCGTACATCCCGCCAACGTCTAACGAGTGTGAGCGCTTCTTCTCTCTCGCTAAGCTGGTGCTGTCTGATCTACGGAAGCGAATGTCTCCAGCCAGGCTCGAGATGATAATGTTTCTGAACTACAATCGTGACTTGCGAAGTTTTGCAAATAATTGAATTATTAATTTTCTCAGCTCACATCGATGTATTAATCTAAGTATTGCATTTTCGGGTTCCCTGCCCGGAGCCGACGGTCAACACCTTAGTGGCTGCTTTATTGGTAGAAGAGCCGTCATATCTGAACAGCTACAGCGACCTAGACATGGTTTCTGGAACGGCGGCCACCATGGCCTAACTGCGTATGTCAACCCATTGTACCAGTCGTAAGTATGGGGTAATTCTAGATGCACTGGAGAAAATGAAGAAAACATTGTTTTCAAACGTCGATCATTCACGTTACCAACTTCTTTTGCTGAAAACCGGCTTCAGTTACAGCTTTCGAAAGAGGATCATTAGAGGACACGAACTAGTAGTTCAACAACTGTACCGAGTCAAAAGAACAAGCAAAGCACAATCGTCAGATGGACTATGCCAGTTGCAATACTTCTACTAGCTACTAATGGTAGTATTTGTCGAGCGCACTGACCTTAAGAATGATAAACTGACTTCATCGCTAAAGTGTTTAGTTCCCATTAACTGACAACGAAGGGGTCACTTTATGAAGCATAATGAAGTCCCGTAACAATTCATGACATACATTTTGAGAGAAAAAAATAGTTTTCCATCTTTTATTCTCCATTAGGATACGACGCGTTGCTTTTAGTACAACCGTCTTTTTAGCTCTTGTCGTCACACCATGGCGCTTTCGTGGATTTGATGTGTCGTCATAACTCTTTTTCCCAAGTGGAGAAGACTGCACCTAGTGCAAATGAGTGCTCTTCTTGATCAAGCTACGCCAAATCTACGGGAGGTAGTTCCTCGCCTTCTTGTAGATCAACCTATTCAGAATCGGGTACTGCAGCACCAGTAGAGGACGATGGACTATCGGACTACGCAAAACGACAGCTTGTGGTTCTCATGATCGTTCTGTTGGTGAGCTATGGCTCAATGTCAGTGCTGTCCGCGGCTCTCATTGCCTACATGCGTCACAACCGCCATGTCGCGCTCAAGGGAGATACTGAAGCTTCGCGGAAAACGTTGTTGCCTGCTTTTGAGCCATTGTTGTGGATTTTGTGTATTGCGACGGGTTCCTATGCAATGTACTTCATGATTGCGCTGATCGCGAGATTCTACGCTCCGAGTGCTGGTAGTGTTGCGACAGAGGCACAAAGCGCTGGACGCCATTTCGTGATGGAGTTGGCGTTGGTTTTCATGCTGCAGAAGAGCGTCTCAATGCCAGCTTTGACTCGATCGATTATCATCACGTCTTTTCTCGCGTGTTACGCGTTGCCCTTCGTGTGGTTCACTACGATCAACGGCCAAAGTGAGAGCTCAACGTCCAACTACTGGATTGTCGCCATAGCTCGTCTGTTGATCTCTCCGCTGTACATTTACGTGATCATCCGTCCACCTGCTCGTGCCAGCAAGCGTACTCTGCGCGAGTATTGTGCCTTTGGAATCGTGTACCAGGTGCTTGAGCTGACTTACCACACTGCCTTCAATAGTAGGAACGTGCACCTTGGCTTTGTATTGATTTACATCCACGTGTTGTGGGGGTCTCTTTGTCCATTATTCGTGTGGCGTTTGCTGAAGGCTGATACTGAGCACTGGCGTGGTCTCGGTCAGCGAGCAGTTGGGCTACAAGCACTATTCCGCAAAGGCAATATCCATGAGCGAGTGTCATCGCAAGGTCTTCATGTGCTGATTGAGATGCACCGGAAGTACATCATTGATTTTTCCGTTCTCCACATCAAGCAGCGCATCGGTGTCGGCTCCACAGCTGTCGTTTACAATGGACTTTTGCACTCGAAGACTCCAGTTGCGATCAAAGTGTACACGCCCTCCAGTGTGACAGAAGACACTGTCGCTGAATTCTCCCACGAAGCTGCTCTTTGTGGTGCATTGAACCACCCAAACATTGTCAAGTTCTTCGGGATGTGTGTTTCACCCCCGACGATCTGTTTGGTGTCCGAGTTGTGTGTGGGTAGTCTCGATGTTGTTGCACTAGCGCTAGCGCGACGACAGCTACAACCTCGTCGTCAACAGTTTTTACTGAACCTCGGCTATCTCATTGATGCTGCTAGGGCATTGGCTTATCTCCACAGCTTCTCTCCTGCCTTCGTGCACCGCGATATCAAGCCTAGCAACTTCCTCGTGGATGTCGAAGGTAACGTCAAGCTCACCGACTTTGGCGAGTCCCGAAGTCTACCCAAAGCCAACATCACGTGGGAGGTGAGTAGCCTCAACGATACTAAGAGCACAGCCGTTGTTACCACCTCAGCATCAGCAGGTACTACTGCTGCTACAAGCAGTGCGTCTAATGATGTAGAGCACTATCAAGAGTACCCGGAGTCAACTCCAAACATGGATACCAGGGCACATGGCGGTAGGGGGATCCCATTGACGCCACCTGGAACCCCACAAGCGGGCTCGAGGACAGTACCAATGCTACCCCCTCCTTCGCGCAAAGCCACTCCAGAAATGACTGTCAAAGGAACAGTCGACTACATGGCACCAGAGATCATCAATGGACGAGCAGGGGTTGCTTCATATGGTGAGTCTGCTGATGTCTACTCGTTGGCGATCACCATGTGGGATATCCTCAATCCAGGAGCTGAAAAGTACCCTGGCACGAACAACAATCATCTACGTGTGCTCGAATCTGTCATGGCTGGTGCCAGACCAGAGCTTGATAATCAGCTACACGCTGGTCTGGCAGAGCTTATCACAAACTCTTGGCATGTGGATGCTCGCATGCGTCCGTCAGCTCAAAAGATCGTGGTTGCTCTTGAGCGGATTCAAGAAGAGGTTTGCCCGGTCTTCGCACTTGAAATGTGCGAGGAAATGGAGCATGACTCCACGCTGATGAAGAGTGGCGGCACGGGGAGTAGCGCGAGGAGCTTCTCCGGGGAGCAAGCGGCTAGGAAGATGCAGGACATTGAAGCGGTGGCCTCGGTGGGCGAAGCCACCCGGCTTGGCAACATGTTTATGAACGCTGGCTTTATGCACCACATCAAGCACTCGCAACCTTTTAAGAGCAGCGAAGATATGTTCTACTTCGACGAGGACAATATCAACTTTTGTCAACCATTCGTCGTTCTAGAAGGGCCTACAAGTACGTGCAGAAGCGGAGCTGGTAGCAACGCAACGCGCCGTCCGGGCTCGACACTAGGAGCTCCTTTGCCATCGCAACTTGTGCAGTCTCCCGGTTGGTTCAAGAGCCTACAACGTCAGCATCAACCTTCGGATCCGACACCTCCACTGGCGACAACTTCAACTTTAATTGCAGTGAAAGACTCCAAGAGCTCCGAGTGGGACGCCCACACCGCGTCAGACTCGCCACACAATCAGAGTGATATTGCATTTGTCGAAGCTGCTAGCAACGGAACGACAGAGGCGGAGGAATGCGCCTGCAGGAAGCTCGGAGAACGGCCCAACATTCGTAAACCAGCTAGTCATCGCTTCCGTCGCAAGTACCGTGCGATCCCAGAAGACAACATTCTGACTGCCAATTTGTTGCAAGAGGAGGACCTATCGTCAACACAGGACCGCCATCTTCTGGACGAGTTCGACGCAGGCCCAGCTACAATCCTGCTGGGTACCCAATAATTGAGTTTAATTTGTGGCGGGAACAATTCCCGCCAAGACATGTGATTGGTTAAAACTCTTTTTTTACAAAACCTACGTATGTAGCAATTGAAAAAAGGTATTAGGATGTCAACCACCGAGTGTCCGATCTGCTCGCGGCATGTGCGCTCTGAGAACCTCATGCTGCACGTAGACGCCTGTTTAGCCAAGCAGGGCCGACCTAAGACGCAGTTCCGCTCTCCGTCGCCATCCGTCAGGTCCAAGTCTCCAACGACCAGTAGAACGCCGAATCGAAGTCCACCACCCCAAAATTCCTCGCCGTCGCCTTCTGCCCAAAAGAAGCGCAAACGCACGGCGACCGACGATGCGTCAGCAGTGCCATTGGCCGAGAGGATGAGACCTACAGACCTGAATGATCTGGTGGGTCAGGAGGAGCTCCTCGGTCCCGGAAGCTTGTTGTCCACGCTGATTGAGGCGGATCGAGTGCCCAATATGATTTTATGGGGGTGAGATTAGTGATACAACGTAATGGTACGAATGACAGGGTGCTAACGTTGTGCTGTGAATGTTTCAGACCCCCAGGATGTGGTAAAACGACGTTGGCCCATGTGATTTCCAAGAAGACGGGCTGCAAGTTCATTAGCCTGTCTGGCGCGACATCCAAGGCTGGCGACATGAAGGACGCCGTGGATCGAGCTAGAGGGGAGCGCAAGATGTTTCGTCGACGCACCATCGTCTTCGTTGACGAGATCCACCGCTTCAACAAAATTCAGCAGGATTTCTTCTTGCCACCAGTTGAAGACGGTACCATTACGTTGATCGGCGCTACAACGGAGAATCCGTCGTTCGAAGTGAACAATGCGCTACTAAGTCGCTGTCGAGTGTACTCACTAAAGAAACACACACCAGAGTCCATCGAGAGAATCCTTCGACGTGCGCTGACTGCTGGAGATGTGCGATCATTGATGCAGTCGTCGAATGGCGATACTTGTAGCCAGAGTGAAGATCCAAAGCAAATGTCTTTCGAAGCTGAAGACGAGGCAATTAAATACTTGACCACACAGTGTGCTGGTGACGCCCGAGCCGCGTTAAACTGCTTGGAGATGGCTATCCAAACTGCCCCTATTGATCCTGACAAGCGGGTGCTACGGGTGTCTGCTATACACGTCCAGCACTGTTTTGCGCATAGACAAACACTGTTCTACGATCGAAACGCTGACATGCACTACGACGTCATTAGCGCTTTACACAAGTCGATTCGAGGCAGCGACGAGAACGCGACACTGTACTGGCTGGCGCGCATGCTAGAAGGCGGTGAAAACCCCCTGTACGTGGCTCGACGACTTATTCGAGTCGCAAGTGAAGATGTTGGACTCGCAGCCCCAGAGTTACTTCCGCTGGCTGTATCAGCCTATCAAGCGGCTCACTTTACCGGGATGCCAGAGTGTGACGTCGTGCTTGCCCATGTCGCGACGATGCTTGCTCGTGCGCCAAAGTCCATTGAGGTTTACGCTGCGTACAAACGGGCGAAGCAATCGATCCACGACTGGGGTAAAGGGGCATTACCGGACGTTCCTATGCATATCCGTAATGCCCCCACAAAGCTGATGAAAGAGATGGGGTACGCCAAAGGTTACAAGTATAACCCACACTATACTGCAGAAGAGCTCAAAGACCAAACATATCTGCCCGACGAAATGGTCGACACCAACTTTTTTGAAGACGCGAAGACCGAGCAAGATGCAGGGGGTTAGATACAAGGACAATGTTCGTGGTGTGAGTCACGTGCTCTTTCCTGTCGGTTTCCAACTGCTTCGTTCAAATAGCCGATAACGGAAAAGTCCTTTCTCTCTTAATGTAATGTTACGACTGAACTCATGGAGCTCTGCTATCGAGTCCGTGAGCCTCGCATTATATCAGTTTCATTGAAGATCAAAACTCGATTGTCATGGTGGCTGAGAGTGCTCAAGGCTATGAGAACTCGCGGAGGCAAGTTGAAGAAGTAAATGGAGCTCAGTGGTTTAACGACAAATTTAAGATCGTACAGATTTTGATCTTGGTGGAGTATCTGTTCATGAGTGGAATGTGTCTAGCGCTGGTGCGTTATCTGCGGCGAAATCGACATATCGCTCTTACTGGGGACTCGAAAGCTGCGAGAAAGATCCTGCTTCCGGCATTTGAGCCGCTCCTATGGTTACTGGGATGCACCGTCGGCATCTACACAGTTGGTGTGGCGTGTCTTATGACTGTCAACTTGTCGGGAGCCAAATACTACGATCTTCTGCTGGAGATCTTTTACAGCATGCGATTGTTTGCTTTCGGCCTCGTGGTGGTGTTCCTGCTGCAGAAGAGCGTATCGGTTCCAGCTCTTCGTCGCGCGGTATGGATCACACTCGTTTTGGCTCTGTACACGTTGCCTGTAGAGATCCTACTTGCAGAGTATGTTGAGCCCAATGATCGGCATCTCGCCTTCGCTGTGATGTCTGCAGTCCGCTCGTTGAGCTTCCTCTTTTTTGGGTATGTGTTCATTCGACCTCCAGCTCGAGCGAGCAAAAGAACCTTACGCGAGTACTGTCTTTTCATCGTCACGTACTCAGTCCTGCACTTCAGCAGCGAGTTGTTCTTCCACTTGGAATCTAACAGCATGGGTTTTGCACTGACTTACGCTACGGTATTATGGGCGATTGCGTCACCCGTGGTCATTTGGCGAGTGCTGAAAGCCGATACGGAATTCTGGCGTGGCCTGGGGCAGCGTGCTGTGGAGCTACAAAACCTATTTCGTTATCGAAACAGTATCGATGAACGGATCTCGTCGCAAGGTCTGCACGTGTTGATTGAAATGCACCGTAAACTTATCATTGACTTTGCACAATTAAAACTGGAAAACAAGATCGGAACAGGATCCAGCGCCGTTGTTTTTAAAGGATACTTGGGAACGGCTACACCTGTGGCAGTCAAGGTGTATACACCTCCGCTATTTACTGAGGAAACAGTGGCGGAATTCTCGCAGGAAGCGGCTCTCTGTGGGGCATTGAAGCATCCAAATGTGGTCAAGTTCTATGGGATGTGTGTGTACCCGCCCACAATTTGCTTAGTCTCGGAGCTGTGTCAAGGCACACTCGGTGACATCGCACGTGCTGCTCGGACTCCACTCGGTAGGAATGAGCCACGACATCAAAAGCGGCAGCAGATGCTGCTGAATGTGTGCTGGATGCTGGACGCTGCACGTGCGGTGTCATACCTGCACAGTTTCTCGCCGCCATTTCTTCATCGCGATATCAAACCAGACAACTTCCTCGTCGATGTGCATGGGACTGTCAAGCTCACCGATTTTGGGGAGTCTCGGAGTCTTGCTCGGTCTTATAACAGGCTTTCTCTTCCAGATCCCACAATACCAAACATCACATCAGCGGGTGAGGCTTTTGCGAGTTCATCAACTGCATCCTTTCCAAAGATGACCGTGAAAGGTACAGTAGACTATATGGCACCAGAGGTTATCAACGGCAAGGCTGGCCTCGCCGAATACGGAGAAGCTGCGGACATTTACTCGCTTGCTATGACAATGTGGGATGTACTTCACCCTGGCACCCCGAAATTCCCAAAATTGAAAAATAATCATCTGCAGGTGTTTATCTACGTCGTGGAGGGCAAGAGACCCGAGTTTGAAAACGATCAACTTCATCCAAGTATTCGCCATATTATCGAAGCAGCGTGGCAGCCTGATGCTCGTGCCCGTCCCAGTGCTCAGGATATCGTTGATGTTCTCGAAAGCGTCCAAGAGGAACTTTTAGCTGTCTTTGCGACAGAGCTGCTACCGGAATTAATCAACGACATCAGTTCGTCTGCATGCAAGACCCGTCAAGGTACTGCGGATCTCTATACTGGAGAACTCGTCGTTGCGCGTCTGCAAGATATGAAGTTCGTCCACAGCCCCTGTGAGGCTGTACGCCTTGGAAATGCCTTCATGGATGCAGGTCTGTTACATCACAAGAAACATGCTTACGGGTTTGAAAATACCGGTCTCACATACTACTTCGATGGTGACAATCTCGCTCTATGCCAACCACTGGAAAAGTCCAAATCGCCGTCAGTAGCCATTGATATTCACGACGAAAGAAGTCCATTCGACGATGATCTGGAGCGACAAAAAGAATTCTTCAACTTGTCTCCAAGCAGCCCGTGCCGACAGTCTTTTACGTTCTCGTTTTCGGAAGATTACAGCAGTATTCTCAATAATCCCACAGGAAAAGCATCCACTAGTGCCAGTATCAGTGGCAGGAACACCTATAGCTGTCGTTGTCGGAAGCTGGCACAACGAATCGAGACTGCTCGGGCCACGCACGGACACAAACTACGCTGGAAGTTTAAACCTGCCATGACGAATGAACACGTTCTCACCGCGAAACTCTTAGATTCGAGTGATGCTGCTGACACGCCAACATCGTTCGAGATTGGTAACACATTGGACGAGTTCGACTTCGTCGGTATGGACGTTCGAGCAGCGTAGTTCTAGGATATAGTCAATCGATGGGATAACCTCAATATGATCTAATAGTTACTTCACCTGGAGGAAGCCGCGCACCTCAGCTACGAACGCGTACAGGTTCGTCTTGAACTGCGTTCGCATCCTGCGCGTGGTGGCTGTACCCGTGGCAATGTCGGCGGGTGACAGAAAGGTGATGAGCTCTGCGAATGCAGCGGCGAGTCGCTGCTGACTGGCAGTGTCCATACTCGTCTGCTCGCGACTAATTTCCTCGGCCAACGCTGAGTAGCGCGCTTGTTCGATCAAGATGAGCGGATAAAGCGTGCCAGCACACGCATCCAAGATGGCGGGGTTGAAGTCTTCGAAGAGTGCCATATGGAAGATAACACGCAGAAACGCCATAAACATATCGGGGTTCTGCTGACGGTGAGCCTCGAGTCCTGGTCTCTGGCTCTGTAGTGCTTTCCAGTGGTAACTAGCCAACTCACTGAGCGCCTGGAAGCTGTTGCGTACCACATCCACCGACACGTGACGCATCCCGATTAACAGCGAGTGCAGCAGCATCTGGAACAGCTCGCTTGGCAACGAAACGAGCTTCTCCGCGTAGACTTCGACCATGTATGTCACTAACGTAAAGTACTGCTTGCTCAAGCTGGGGTAAGCCAACAACTGCTCCGTCATGAGCGGGATCACCTGACGCAGACCCGAAAAGACAACGTCGGCTACGACACTTGAAGCGCGAGTAGCGTCGGCCTGTTCCTGCTGCGTTGTTGCGTCCTCGGAAAAGTCGATAAAGTCCTTAGACACTAAATGAGACAGCAGCGTAAGCAAAGCCAAGAGATCGACGTAATTTTCCTCCTCGGCGTCACCCAGCATGCTCTTTTTGCCTAGATTGTGACGACAGTATGCACGGATGAGATCGTCGCTTGCTGTGTACACTTGCAACGCGTCACGAGGAGATAGATAGCACAATTGCGCCTCCACCAGCACACAGAAGAAGTTCAAAATAAGGTTCACAATCTGTGAGTCGCCCTGAAAGATCTGGAAAATCTTGACAATGACAGGAAGAGCAGGTAGACAGAACGCAGTGATCGGCGCGTGGCTGGCTGACTCCGCAGAACGCGCGATACCCGAATACGTCTCGACTAGCAGCTTCAGTTCTTCTTGTACACGTACGTCATTTGCTGTCTGCTTGGACTCGAAGTTCGGCATTGCGATCAGCTGCTGCAATCGCTGTGCAAGAGGTTGACTCACAGCCTGGAAGTGAGCTGCGCGCATATTCTGGTCAGTTGATGCCATTCCTGCTCGGCACAACGCCTCCGTGAGTTGTCCACGGAGATTAGCGGGGACTCTGGCGACTGCAGTATTCAAAGGTGACGTGTTCCCACCTGCGCCTGTAATGAAGGATCCAGCTGACGCATTGGCTTGGACCAGCGACTGCCACATCTCCGAACTCAGGACCGCGTTGATGGCTCGCGTGTTGGAGAGTACCAGCAAGAACTCGATCAAGTTTTCCATGACGACAGGTTGCGTCGGCCAGTGAAGTAAGTATACCGTCGCCTTCTGGACCAGAAAATTCAACAGCTCGCCTGCACGACCTCCATTCTGGAATCCAAAAACTTGTAAGAGCGCTGGTGCCACTTCACCCGCGTCAACAAGTATATTTGGGGCGAGGTACGTAGCGCACAAACGCGTGATTGTTTTGATCAGACCTTCAGACACGAACGGACTGACGCAGTCGCTTCCTGGGCTTTGTGCTAACCGCGTTGTCTCGAATTCAAGCACGTGACTCATGATCAGCATGATGAGACTCACCACGGGAGATTCTCCAGCATTGGCCACACCTTGTAGAGTGACGTAGACTCGGTCCGGAATACCTGGACGTTCCCCTTCAAAGTCATCCGCAAGAAGAAGCCCAGCAAAGAGAAGAACAAAGTGGAGCTTCTCGAACAGCTGCGATAACACCGGAGTCATCTCATCACGACCTTGCAGCTTTGTCAGCTCCTGCTGTATACTGTTCATCAACGACTGCAACAGAGACACCAGTAAAGAGGCCGACGCAGAGCCATTAAGCCTCGCAAGAGCTGCAGCCAACTCATATTGCTCTCGTGCACTACTAGCAGCGTTGTCTTCTACGTCCTCATCTTCGTCCTGTTCGGCTAGAACCTCGACTGCACACAACTCCAACTGAACCTGCAAATACAGCTCTACCACCGGAGCGGAGGCTTTGCTAAGAAGCGCCAGCGCTTGTTCTGCCTCCGGTTTCGCAGTTTTCGAGACTCCAACCTCTAAAAGCTGCGGGTCATTTGCCAGAGCTACCCACGCATCCAACAGAATGTCCACGCCTTCGAGTTCCCAGAGCTCGTCGATAGCTTCATTAGGATTCTCACGCAAGTGGCGTTGAATCCGTTCCAGAGCTGAGTGCAGGAGCTTGCTCGTCAGTGAGGCCAACTCGTCGATGAATGAAGACAAAAGCTGTCCTGAGCTGGCCTGTAAAAGCGCTGTGAGTCCAATATTGTTGACGAGACGGAAGAGTAATTGGCAGCAGTCGATCAGCTCGCGAGTCGCCAGCTCATATCCGGTAATGTCGCTGTGCGCTAGTAGATCCAGGAACGGGTTGTGCACAACGGTGACGACTCCGCGAAAAATTTCACCCAAAAACTGCACCTGCTCCGTCTTGCGCTCGAAGATGGGACCTTGCAATGAAGCTAACTGAATCAGGAACTGTCGCGCCAAGTGAAGAAGCGTCTCGTTCTTGGCTGCTACATTGCGGAAGAATGCGTAAGTATTGAAAGCGGAGTGAATCAAATCCGGTCGCACCAAAATCGGTCTCCAAGAAGCTTGTGGGACTAATACGGGTCGGTTTCCAGTATCGTCGTCACTTGCGGAGACGGTCAAGCTCCACGTCAAATTCCCTACACGCGGGTCCTCAAACTGCCAATTTAAAAGCTCCACGCAAAGTCGAAAAGCTGAATCTAGTAGCTCCAACTGCTCAGCGGGTACATCTCCCGCAGCTCCTGCATCTCCACAGGCCGTAGTTGTGCTGCGGATTGAGTCCTCCAGTAGCGGCACAGCCAGTGCAACAATGTCTTTCAGTCCTCCACTTTTCTCCAGTGTGCGTCGTGACTTGGTGTGAAATTCCACAGGTTGCATCATGTTGCTCGCCCTCGAGGCCGACGAGAACTCTGTCACGAACGCCAGCAGCCACTTGGCAGCCAATAGGCGGTGAGCAATGGCATTGCCTGGCTGCAACATAGTGCCCATCTGCTGCAGCACTGCGCTTCTCTCCGACTCGAGGCGGTCCAGCCAGCCACGTTTGACCAATAGCACCGCGGTTTGCAGTGCTGCGGCTGCCACGAATCTCGGCGCCGCGGCACCGCGTTCCAGCAGCAGTTGCATGAGGAAGTCCAGCGCCTGCGACTTGTCTGGAAGTGCCAGCAATGGCCACCGCTGCAGCGTCACCTCGCGAATGGTGGCGACACAATGGAATTGCACAACGGGCGGCGTCTGGCTGTCGCGAAGTAGCGACATCGCATCGTTTAGTGCGCTAGGGCTCCGCTTAAAGTGCTCCAGCACGGATTCGGCTTCAGCACGGCGGCTTTCAGCCTCGGGGCCCGTTGGTGGTGCATGCAGCGCTACGCACGCCGCCTGTAGCGCATCCATAATTTGTTGGTGGCGGGCGTGATTCGAAAGTAAAAATTACATTACATGTAGAAAGATCATCAACAGTCTTTTTTAAATGTAACGTTTCAGCTGGCGATATCCCATTATTCATAATGGGATATCGGCCAGCTTTTCTTGTATGCTCCTATAGAAGCCTCTTTCAGCATTTTCATTAGTTTGGACCAATCACAATAGCACAATTACCTCATTTTTAGCCAATTTATTTTTTTGAGAAGCCTATTTGAGCTCGCCATTGGCCAAACGGGTTAGGGATAAACATTTAGGGATCGAGATCGCCTAATTTAGGGGTCCTTTCGCTTTGACTTTAAAATATATGCATAGCACGTATGCATATATTTTAAAGTCAAAGCGAAAGGACCCTAAATTAGGCGATCGAGCCATTGAATGTAGGTTGCTTGCGTTCTCACCTACACATAGGGGGTACTGCCTTTTAGATATTAAGGCCAACAAATACCTAGTTGCCCGCGATGTAAAGTTTAGTCTAGCGGGTACTGTTCCAATGATCAGTCAATCTTTCCATGTAGCATCAACCTAGAAGAAGAAAGGATCATTATAAGCCTAGGTAAAAGAACTAGATCTATTCTAAAAGTTGAAGCTCAAGTGACAGATGCTGAAGCCATCAGCTCAGATCGTGTCACTCGACACCGAAATCCAAATCAGTGGAGTGCAAAACCGAGTCAGTAGTGACATCCGTCGGTAAAAAAGACAACGATCGCGTAAAGTTCGACTCGGTGACTATGTGACACAGCTAAAAGCTGTGTCAACTAATAGGACAACTAGAATAGCTATTCCTAGATCGATTATGGAGGCCCGTAAGAGCCCACATGCTACGCCGTGGGAGTGTGCAATAAATACTAAAATGATGCCCTTATAAGTAACAAAACATGGGCGTTAGCGCCACTTCCTGCTGGAAGAAGGCCACTAGGCTGTCATTGGCTGTGTGACGTCAAATACAAGCCGACGTTTCAGCTGACCGTTTTAAGGCACGGTTAGATGTACGAGGAAATACCCAATTGTACGGTATCTTACCCCCCTAGTGGAGTCTGGTGTCCGTCTGTCCGTCCGAGGGTAGGGTTCTAGAATGTAACGCAAATACGCGCATTCTACTGGCTGCCGAGCGCAGCGAAGGCGGCCTCGATTCGCTACAATTGCAGTATGTGGTGGACACACTGTATGTGGTCAACACATCGTACTTAAAATGCACAGTTCAAATTTCATTTTGCCCCCATTTTCAAAACGGAAGCCGTGGAACGCCACGTTACTCAAGGTACGCTGCGTGTATGCATGTTAGTTTGCATTAGTAGCTAGCAAGACACACATACACAGATAGTCCGAGGTTCCTGGGGCTGCTTAGGGGGTAGCTTATAACTTGCGGGATTTTATCCTGCAAGTAGGTAGCCGTGCTATGGGGATTTAGTTCCAGAGCCCTATGGGTTCTTGGGGCTTTATCCCACCGCCCACTCTGCGCGAGAGCACATTTGGCACCTGGTCCATTGACCGCAAACCCGACAGCGAACCAGTTGAGCCGGTCGTTAATGGTTATTGATGGGCACGCACATTGCGTGCGTGCAGTTGGTCAGGAGGGGTACCGTAACTGGCCTCTTTTAACCGACAGATGGGATGGGGGCTGTAATAGCCTATCAATAACCAGCTTTTGCAATTAACGGCCGCCTATTTGGCAAAAGGATATCGCACCTCAAGCTACAGTACTATCCGGGGGCTCAACCCTGGAGATTCGACTGCACAATTTGCAAACTAAAACCGCTCCGGGCCTCACGGCCCGTGACTGTGGGATAAGTGATCGGAGATAACCTTGATGGGGGCAAGCAATCCCGGGTAGTACGCGTATTCCAACACACTACTCTATGAAAACCTACTGCTACGTGCGGTGTACTTAGACTTTATCTAACGCGTCACGTTTTCGTGTTCGCAGAACTATGGTTCGGAGTAAGCGAAAGAGGACGCGCGAGGAGCTCGAGGAGGCCCTGCGCGAGAACGAACGCATTAACTCAACACCCATACAAGAGGAAAAGGATGCCCGAAAACGACGTCAAACCAAGCGCAGAAAGAAACGATACGACTTAAACAAAGAGCTTCAGGCACTCAGCATGCACCAAGAAGTTACAGAGGTTAGAGAAGTTACGGAAGGCCAAACGGTGGCTTTGGAAGAGCAGGAGGAGAAGACAGAAAGAGTCCAATCCTGCGGAGCATCAACGACGGTTTGCCGCTCAAATGGAAGCGGCATATCAAGCGGGGGTCTCCGAGGTGGCTTTGCTTGCGGTGCCTGTCATACCACCCGTTCCTGTTCAAGACGCGGTTCCAGTGTCGGCTGCGCAGCGGGCTCGCGCGAGAAGAGATAGCAGGACACTGTCTCAGGCAGAGCGCGAGCGCGCCCGCGACGCACAGAGGGCCCGAACACGACGAGCTAACATGACACTATCTCAGCGCGACCGTGTCAGGAAAAACGATGCTGAGCGTAAACGCACACGAAGAGCTCGACAGCGCGGAGAGGAGCGTCAGGAGCGATGCGAGGAAGACAGAGCTCGCCATCAAGAAAGACGTGCGGGGCTGCCTCCACAAGAACAGGAAGCTGAGCGTGAGCTAAACCGTCAGCAGCATGCGGATCGACGAGCTCGGCTGACGGAAGCAGAACGCCAGCAGGAGCTCGAACGTGTGCGCACTCGACGCCAATGCGTCCGACATGGGCACGCTCTTATATCTCTCGAGGACTTCGATGCGTCCATGATAACGGGTGACGACGTGGTGAACGGTCGCCACAAGCTCCCGGCTACAACCGTTTGCCCGATCTGCAATGCTTGGAAGTGGCCTGGCGAGTCTGCGATATCATGCTGTCTGGCAGGCAGGGTAAAGCTACCTCCACTGCACCCCGCGCCACCAAAGCTGCTTCAGCTGTACGGAGATCCCGAGTTCCGCCGTCAAATCCGTGCCTACAACCAAGCTTTTGCTTTTACGTCGATTGGTGCTTCGTGCTCAAACCGATCGTTTCAAAATGTGCATCAAGACGAGAGCGTTGCAGGTACACACGGGGTGTACACATATCGCATTCAAGGGGCTATGGGGCACTACTTAGGGTCCCTCCTTCCCCACATAGACCGTCGGACAGGCGCACGGGTATCTCCGAAGTTTGCGCAGATCTACATTGTGGATCCAGACATGCAACGCCGCGCGGAGCGACGTCTTGGTATATTCGCGGATCTGGATCGTGTTGCACTACTAGACATCGAGAAAATGATGGCAGAGCACAACCCATTAGCGCAACGGTTCCTCCACTTTGGGCAGCAGGTGCGCCAACACAACACGGAGGATCCAGTAGACTTGGTGTTCCGTCTACATGACAACTCCTCGCGACCGAGGACGCATAACCGCCCCACTGTGTCTGAAGTGGCTGCGACCCTCATTGAGGATGGCAACCTGGCTCAGCCTCGGGATCTACTGCTCTTTACACGCGATCAAAGGCTGTTACGTTTGTACGAGACTCACGCCGATTACGATCCACTCCAATACCCGCTTCTCCTTCCGTATGGAGAGAAGGGCTGGACCTACACAGACGAGTACGCCAATGGTGCTGAGTATCGAAACAAGAAGGCGATGTCGCTTCGTGAACACGTAGCGTTCCGCCTTCATCAGAAAGTGGATGACCAGTCCGCTCTCCACCAAGGTGGGCGTCTATTTCAGCAGTGGTGTGTAGATCAGCGTGCAAAATGTGAGCAAGAACAGCTTCGCTGGGTGGCCGACAATCAGAAAACACTACGCGCCGATCAATACAGGGGTGTTCAAGACGCTTTGCTCAACGAAGATACTTTGGCTCTGGCGGAAGGAGAAGTGCTGCTGTCGGAATATGACCGTGCCCAGAACAGATTGGTGCACCCGGATCGGGACGGAGGCAACAGAGGACGACCAGCCCACTTTCTTAATCAGGTTGGCAAGCGTATCATACTTCCGGCTTCGCACCTGGGTAGCCCGCGGTCCATGTACAAGTCGTATCAAGATTCGATGGCAATTGTTCGGGAGTATGGACGGCCCGACGTCTTCCTGACTGAAACGTGCAACCCTAAGTGGGACGAGATTCTTGAAGCGATACCTTCCGATATCCAGACAGCTCAAGATCGACCAGACATCGTGGCTCGCGTGTGGCAGCAGAAACTACAAGCGACGCTTGACGATTTAAACCAAGGCGTCCTGGGGCGAGTGCGCGCGCGGATTTACGTTGTCGAGTTTCAAAAACGAGGGCTCCCCCACGCTCACGTATTGATTATTCTGGCTGACGAAGACAAACCTCGAACCCGCGAGATCGTAGACAAGATGGTATGCGCTGAGATCCCAGATAAGGATACAAACCCTCAGCTGTATGAGACGGTCATGTCATGCATGCTCCATGGTCCATGCGGGCCTGCAAACCCTTCCTGCGCGTGTATGAAGGACGGCAAGTGCACCAAAGCATATCCGAAGCCCTTAGCAGAAGTTACACAAGCCAATGCCAATGGATATCCAGTCTACAGACGACGTCGACGGCAACAAGGTGTTCTAAAGTTCAAAGGCAGAGAATACGACAATGCTACGATCAACCAGTGGGTTGTACCGTACAACCCGTACTTATCCCAGAAGTACAACTGTCACATCAATGTGGAAGTGTGCACGGATATAACTGCGGTTAAATACCTGTACAAGTATGTGTACAAAGGACCCGACATGGCTATACTCACTGTGGAAGAAGTCCGAGGAGGGCAGCAGAGTGCGCGTCGAGAACCAAATGAGATTCTACGTTTCTTGAGCGCCCGGTACATTTCTCCGGTGGAAGCTTGCATGCGCCTGCTCGATTTCACGATTCAGGGGAAAACCCATGCGGTGACACAGCTGACGGTTCATCTCGAGTCAGGGCAGACGGTTTGCTTCCGCGAAACGGAAAACCCGGAGGCGGTTTTGGAACGTGGTAGTCACACGATGCTGACCAGATTCTT